GCAGTTTAGCAGAATGGACTCTGACAAATTACATTTCTGTGAATAAAGCAGGGTTTTTAAAGGCCGCGGCTCCACGCTGACAGGCTGCGCAGCGGTGATTTATACGCCGGAAAAAAAGAGCCGCGTTTCCACCGAAGGGAATTTGTGTTCATTTTAACATAAGAGACGCCACTTTGGATCATCGGATAAAACAGAGAGACGACAATAAGAGGAGAGTAAAACAATCAGGGGAGGCTGCGGTCCAGAGCACGAGACGTCGGCACGGACGTGGCCGCGGCCGCGGCTTTTCAATCTGCCATAGCTGTAAAACACTGCCACCCTGTGGTAAAATCCTACGTGTTTCCTGAACCCTGAGCCTCGGAGTCATGTGACCTCTGTACTGCATGTTGTGTTGACTCTGCTGGACACTTACTGCTGACCAGCTGCCCCACGCTGAGAGCCGAGGACGAGGAGGAGGTGGAGGAGGACGAAGAGGACGCCTGGTGGAGTGGACTCTGTCTGTGCGGCATGTGGAGCAGACCGGGCTGAGAGGACGCTGGGCCGGTCTGGTTCTGGTTCTGCTGAGCCTGGGGCAGCTGAGACACACACACACACACACATATCAAGAGTCAACGACGGCGTCCACCCTTCACCCCCGTGGTCATAATGACCATCATTTACTGTAATCATGTCATTACTGTGATTAGGCTGTAACGTTAAATCAACTCCACCAATCAACAGCCATTAAATGAGCCTCTCTGGAGACCACGGCTGTAGTGAGATTCACTTGATGAACAAACGTCCATCACTGACAGTCCCAGTGTCCCCGAGTGGAAAAAAAACAAAGTCGGAGATGTTTATAAGAAATGGACGGAGCCGTCTCCATCACACATTTTAGTAAATACTAAAATAAATACACATGTAGTTCCTAGGTTGAATCACAAATGTCATAAATCAGACTGAGAAGAGAAAAACCCAAAATTAAAGCCCGTCTGATCCGATCCCTGAGCAACTCAACCTGGAGCAATATGTTGTAAACAGGGCCTCAGCAACTGTGGTATCGTATTGATACCAGTACCTGCTGATACTTCATGTTGCAGTACTGGTATCAGACATTAATAAGTTGTATCGAGCCCCCCAGGAGACCCCGCCCCTCTACTTTGAAACCTACATAAACAGGTTTCATCTGTTTCAAACGTCACAGAGTTTTACGTTGGCAACGTTGTTCAGCAATTCAACCATTTGGGGGCAGTGCTGAGTTCATTTGGTTCTGTCGTTTCTGTTGTGGTTCTGTTGTCGACTCCTTCGTGTTTTTCTTTTTTTTTTACGTGAGCCATTCTGTGCAACACTGCCCCCAGGATTTCCACTGGTACTGCTCCGTTTCCTGCGTCAGTTTACGCATTCGCAAGATTTCCAAAAACGTAGTCTGGCTGATCCTGGCACCTGTGTTCTGATGCGACTTATATATTGAAACATCTATGGCCACAAGAGGGCACCATCTACACTACATGGGAACTGGACGCTTTAAAAAATGACACGTTCAAACCACAACGACTTCCTTAAAAGTACACAAATAAACTGTGACCAAAAAGAAAATACTACATAGACAGAGTACTGTTTACAGTAACGGAAGAGGAACTACAGTATCTCACGAACTGGAACTGATGCCGGTGGAGACAATACGTCATCTGTAATGATCTCCATCATTCATTACCTTCTGCTCCTGTTCCTGTTCCTGTTCTTCTCCCTCAGCTTCCTGTTCTCGGGGACACTCTTTGCCCTCTCCACTGTCTGACAGGATTCAGAAACTTTTCTGGATCTGAATCCTGACTCCACTTTAAAGAAAATGTGCGAGTTGCACTGTTTGTTGATTACTAAAAATTACTGCTGACAGTATTCAGACTGACGGAGTGGAATACAGTGTCAATAGTTTTTCTCACTAAACGAGCAGGTTGGTTTACGGTTTACAGCAGCCGACACCGAGAGAGAGGCAGCGTCAAAGGGAAGAGGCTGCTGGCTCAGCTCCAGAAAAAAAAAAAAAAAAAAAAAAAA